GGGCAGCCGGCACAAAACAAAGCGCCCCGTCAGCGCTGCCTGCGGCACGGCCTGGCGCCCGGCCCGGGGGACCCTGGCGGGGCCGTGCTGCAGAGATGGCACCCACCCAGCCCAGCCCGAGGGGGCCCAGTGGGGTCCTGGCGGACCCCTCCTGCAGGCAGGGCTCTGCCACGGCGGGGAAAAAACGCAGCTTGAGGGGGGTCTTTCCCCTCGCCACTGCTGCCTCACACTGCACCCGAGCCTGGGCGCTGCAGGGGGGGACGAGGATGGGGTTGGCAAAGCTGGGGGGGGATCACTGGGAAGCAGAGCTGTGGGGCTGCACCCCTGAGGCCTGACACCCAGCACTGGGGGCATGCTGGCTGGCTGGACGGCCACCTCCCAGCGAACGTGGGGTCAGGGAAAGGGCTGTCAGGGCCACCTGTCCTCTGCGGGGCTGCCCAAATGTGGGGCTGGTGGTGGGACCGCTCCTGCAAAGCCCTCGGGCACCCTCCCTGCGCTCCTGCCATGTGCACCCCTGGCTGTGAGGGCGAGGCCAGGCTCGTCCCCTGGGCTCCCTCCAGACCCTCGGACATGCCCTGGCCGTGGCTTCGGCCACCCCGGCAGTGTGGAGGGTTTGCCAGGAGCCTGGTGCCACTAGAGGGAGAGCTCACCCCGAGCAGGCCGCGGCGCAGCCGGCGCATGCGGGCGTACAGTGTGTGTACGGGGTGTACGGCACCGCACAGCCCTCTACACCCCACACTCGGCTCCCCTTGTGTTGGGAAAACACCGCTTCTGGCTGAAAACGGTCCCAAGGCAAAGCCCAGAGCTGGCAGCCGCTCCAGGCCAGGAGCAGGGGAGGTGGGGGGGAACCCCCTCCTGTACACCCCACATCGGGCATGGCCAGGGACAGGTCATGCTCGGCAGAGAGCGAGACCCCGGGTATGGCTCGGGGTGCTGTGGGCTCCCCAACTGCTCTTCCATCTCACACCAAGCACTGCTGGAGGACCGGGTCTCCCCCAACCGCGGGAGGACCCGGGGGGGACGGCAGTGAGTGCCTGGGGAGCCACCGCTGGGGCAATACTGGCGGGTCCACGGGTTGTCCTGAACAACTGGTTTTTCTAGATCCCAGAGACTATAAAAAAGCAGTGACCTATTTAGGAAACCCTGCGGTGCTGCGAAACAGATGCTTCCCCTCCCAGCCCGGCTTGGGGCCCTCACCGCTCAGGCCAACCGTCTGCTCCTGCCAGGGGCACCGCGAAATGCCACTGGCACCCAAGCTCTGTCCCGCTTCTCCCTTTAGAAAACTCTGGGCAACACGGAGACTTTCCCTGGGTGTGAGGTTTGCTGGTGCTTGTGAAAACCCATGCCAGAGGAGAGCTGCTTGGGGCAGCCTGGCCACAGAAGAGGGGCTAGCGAGGCTGGCCGGCATCTTGCGGGCATGACCACCTAGCCGCCTTGCTGGGGAACGCAGCGGGGTTTATCCCTGGGGAGGTGGCAGGAGGCTGGTCCTGCTGGGTGGCTGCTCATGGCAGGGCTGTGTGACCAGGGACCCCGCGCTGTCCCACGGCTCAGTGGTTCCAACCAGCGTCAGCCCCGCCGCCGCCTGCCCAGTGTGATAAGGAAGCCGGAGCTGCCGCAGGCTGTAACCGGCTGTTAACCCGCCTGCGCCGGGGAGGCAGGGCAGAGGTACAGTCACACAACATGTCCCCTCGTCACCGCAGCCAGGAAACCCTCCTGGCTGCCGAGCTGGGGCTCTGCCTCCCCTCCAGCTCAGCCGTCCCTGCTCTCCAGACATCTGCAGCTCCCTGCGCTTGGTGCCACGTGCCTGGGACAAAGGAAAGTGTGACAAAAGCAGGCGGCTGCGCTCGCTGCCGCCGTCCTCTGCTGCTGCAAGGGCTGCATCTCCTCCACTGCTGTGTCTCTCAGCCCAGGGCCTCTTGTATGACTGCCAGCTTGCTGTCACCGTGCTCCTGCAGCTCTGCTGCTGCACTGGGCAGATGCTATGGGTTGGAAATCCCCCCCTAGCCTGACCACTGCGAGGAAACGGGGCTTGTGACACCCAGGCAAGTGTGTCCCAAAAGGGGGGTGAACCCAGTGCAATTCCCAGTGCTCGTGGGAGTGATGCTCACTGCTGCAGAGCTGCTCTGTGCTGAGGGCCGGGTGGCAGGGGCCTGTCCCCCCCACAGAGCAAGGCTCCCTGGCACTGCCACACAGTGCCCTGGGCAGGGCAGGAGCCGTGGGAGGTGACAGGGATGGTGCTGGGGCCAGACCCCTGTCCCCCAGAGGTCCCTCTGTCCACCCTGAGCTTTGCAGCAGGGTCAAAGCACCCCCTGAAAAGGGCTTTTGGAAATAGCTCGTGGATGCCTGTCCCTGGCGTCCCTGTTCCCCAGGCCCTGCTGGGCCACTGACGTCCAGCCAAGGGCCTGGAGGTGGCCCAGCTGCTCCCACATCTGATGGCAAGGGAGGGTGGCCCAGCACAGAGACCACAGGGCTTGTCCCAAAACCATCCATCCTAGGGCAGCCGCCGCCAGCCTTCCCACTGTGCACAGCTTGGGGGGGGGCCCACAGGATTTTCGATGTACCACCCCGGTGCGACGTCCCAAAGCTGTGCCCAAACGGATGGGGGGCAACAAAGGCTTTGTGGCTCTTGCTGCTGGGCTCGCTGGGAGATGCTCATCGTTCATCACGTGCTGTCTCCCAGCCAGGCACAGTCCTGAGCTGTCTGGTTCCCGCAGGGACAGGCGGCGTGGGGAGAAACACCGGCTGTAAAACGGCTCCGCAGGCCGCTCTGCCACCTCCTCCTCTGCGCCCCCCAGTCCGGGCCCACGCAGCCACTGGTGAGGACTGGCCACCCTCATCCCTCCGTGTGCCGCACCAGGCGCTGCTCCCCGTCGGATCCTTCCGAAAAGGGGAACCCCAGGAGCGGGGTGTGCGTGTGTGTGCACAACCAGCGCGATGCGTGGGGCTGTGTGGCCACAACACACGTGTTTGTGTTGCGTGAGGATGGGGTGCGGGTGTGAGGCGCACGCGGCAGGGGTGCACCCCTGCCCATTGCTGTGCGCCCACCGGGGGGTGTCAGCACACCCCGCGGGTGCACACGTATTCGGGGTGCGGGTGTGTGTGTGCACAGCTCCCGTTTATGATCCGGTGTGTGTGTGTGTGTGTGTGTGCATTGGGGGGGGTGTCACACCTGCGCCCCGGTCCCGTGTGTACACTCGGGGTGTGTTACGGGCACACCCCGGTCCCGCGGGGGCGCAGCGGGGCCGCTTTTCCCGCAGCGCCTAAACGTTCCCCGCGAAGGTCAGATACGGCCGTCCCGGGCCGTTTTATCCCGTCCCCATCC